GAAGTTGGGGGTCGAGGTGAAGGTTATGAGGTCGATGCCGACAAAGGTCTTTGGTGGGAGGTGGGGGACGAGGATCGTAGGGGAGGGCGATAATGTGGATGTCATGTCTGCCTTGTGAGTATCGTTAAGTGTGAGTTGGATTTCTTTATGGTGGGATAGCTGTGTTTAGTCGTGTCGCATGTGAAAAGATCGAATCGCAAAGCTGACGTCAAACCAGGTTAAGGCTGGATAGGGTAATGATTCTTTGATATTGGTATATCACGTAGTATGGCGGAGGGTGCAGTTAATGCATGGAAGATATTTGATGAGTCCAGAATCGACGTGTAAGAAATCGTGGTAGGGACAGGAATGTGGAGGGGAGCTCTGGGTAGATCGATAAAATGTGCTTATCTTAGCTTGATTGCGGGATAAGGAGCCCGGCTACGGAAGATCAAAATCAAATGCGTAACATTCACAAGCGCAAGATATATCGAGGTGCAGGAACCAACCACGGTCAAGTTGCATGATTCTATACGCATATTCTGTTTACTGTGATTCTCTACACATACAAGTTACACTCAAGGACCACATCAGTTCTAGGTTCAGTTATATTGACTATAGCAACCGCCACACAGACAGCAGACTACCTAAATCCAGAACCGAAAGACACACTTTTGGGTATGTAATAAATTGAAGACCAGGCGATAAAGGCCGTTCTTCGCGTTTATTCCATCCACATACGGCAAGCAAGGCCAAGTCCGCTCCAATCCAACCATGCGGAGAAGCTCCGCACAACTTGGAAGAGATGAACCCGCACATGCTTACAAACGACGACCACGGCGACCACCCTTGCGACGAGTAGAGTCGGAGGGAGTGGGGGTGACGTCCTCGATACGACCGATTCTCATGCCGGAACGGGCAAGAGCACGGAGGGCGGACTGAGCACCGGGACCGGGGGTCTTGGTGCCGTTACCTATATCTAGTATTAGTGATTGTTCTCTCGAGTTGGTGCTTCATAGCGCTCGTTCACATACCACCAGTGGCACGGATCTTGATGTGGAGGGCGTTGATGCCAAGCTCCTTGCAGCGAGCAGCAACATCCTGAGCAGCCAACATGGCAGCGTAGGGGGAAGACTCGTCACGGTCAGCCTTGACCTTCATACCACCGGTGACACGGCAGATGGTTTCGCGACCACTGTTATCCCAATCAGTTAGCCAACTGTATCCCGCCAAACAGCGTTTTGCGACAATCCACGATATCCGAATCTTAGTCCGTTGCGGGGCGCAAAATGTTCTCCGGAGAACGGATTCTCGTGCAGTCGATAGTCGGGTATTTCAAGATGTGACGAACCTCAGATCGGTGACGTGGACGAAGGTATCGTTGAAGGAGGCAAAGATACGGGCAACACCGAAAACGAGCTTGCCTGCAAATCATCTCAGATTAGACATGGTCTCGATCGCAAAACCGTAGAGCGTGCACTGGGTTGTACATACCATCTCCGGCCAAAGGACCGAGAGAGACGTTCTCCTTGGCAGCACCGGCGGTCTTCTTGGGAGCCATTTTGTCGACTTGCTGGGGTAGTGGGATGGAATATGGAAGGGAAGGAAAAAGAGAAGTTCGATAGGCCCCAAATGGCTTGGATACAGAAAATGACTGGTGTGTGCCCTACCCACGGCGGCTCACATTCTGATTGGCTGAGAGATGATCAAGGGCGGTGGGCAAGCGAGTGTTGTAGCCTGAGGCCGCGGAACCGCGGTGAATCAACTCGATGACTCTTTCTGTGACAGGCACTGTAACGCCGGATGGGCAGTCGGCCCGGTTTGGTGCTCCCCCCAGCACTATTTAAAATTTCTGCTGCAACCTCCCGAGCTATAACTTTCTTCTTCCTCCTCATATCCAATCAGGCAGACAGTCGGACTCTGTGGCTTTGTCTGCTGGCTTGTTTATTGGCTCAATTGAGCATATCGCGCAGCCTAGTTTCTCACAACAAACAGGACTGAACGAGGACTAATCCAACCAGCAAACATGGGCTTCACTAAGGAATCAGCCACGATCGGCATCATTGGCATGGGAGACATGGGCAAGATGTACGCCCAGCGTCTGAGCGCTGCCGGATGGAGGTAATATTTAAACAAGTGTCCTTCCCAGTCAGTTGTTTCCGATTATCACCCTGGTGGTGTGTGTTATTGTAATAGGTGAGCATCCCCTTCTGTCTATATTTCTCTCGCTTTCCCCTTGCTTCCTCTCCCCCTCTTTGGATGATGACTTGAGTGCATTTGGCTCGAGTATGGCCTGGAGGTTAGCTTTCCTACCTTGGTAGGTTTGCGACTCCGCCAGACCGTCAATGATGTAACATCTCAGCTACCTATATTTCTTTGTCTGAAACCCAAAGCTATCAACATTTATGATGATTGATTCACACATTTGCGCATAATGGGCTTGTGCTAACCATTCTGCCAAACTAGGTTCTCGCGTTGTATATCATTAGAGCAAAGCATCAAGCCGGACTGGATTAGCTATACTAACTATCTACTCTTTTATCTATCAAGGATTAATGCATGTGACAAACCCGACTCGTATGAGCGTCTTATAAAAGAATTCGAATCCACAGTACGTCCATGATACTTCACAGCTCGCGCTGTCCAGACATAAACTCATCCATTCATAAAACAAAAAGCAAAATGTCACTATCTTTCCCAATGGCCACCTGGTTTCCAGAATAAGCGATTACATTATTTACAGTGTAGAGGCCGGTGTCATCGACAAGGTAGTGGAAATGTATGGCCCGTGTATGTATTTCAAGTTGCAAAGGCTTGCTTGCTTGCTGCGCCCTTATATTTGCATCATGAATTTGAAATGTGCCTGTCTGACTTGTGGAAAATCACACAAAAAGCTACCAAGGTCGGTGCAATCGTCGGTGGTCAAACGTCCTGCAAGGCCCCTGAGCTCGCGGCTTTCGACAAACACCTTCCCAAGGACGTAGAGATCGTATCATGCCATTCGCTACATGGCCCTCAAGTCAACCCCAAGGGTCAACCTCTGGTACGCTGCTGTCTGTCTGCCTGCCTGTTATTTGCTTGGAGCATATTATATGCCCTCAAAACCCCAAGATCGCACAGGACAATGTATGAATGATAACATAACGCCCGTTTGCCTTTTTTTGTGTCTAGGTCTTGATCCAGCACCGTGCCTCCGATGAAAGCCTCAACTTCGTCAAGGAAGTCCTGTCATGCTTCGAATCCAAGTTCGTTTTCCTCTCCGGAGAGATGCATGACCGCATCACAGCAGATACCCAGGCCGTCACCCATGCGGCCTTCCTGAGCATGGGAACAGCATGGCAGGCCAACCAGCAATTCCCATGGGAGATTAACCGTTGGGTGGGAGGCATCGAGAACGTGAAGATCAACATCACCCTACGCATCTACTCCAACAAGTGGCACGTGTACGCCGGTCTTGCCATCTTGAATCCAGCGGCGAAGAAGCAGATCCGGCAGTATGCAGAGTCCGTGACGGATCTGTACAAGCTCATGATCGAGGGCCGCCGAGACGAACTCAAACGCCGTGTCAGAGCTGCAGGGGAGGCCGTTTTCAAAGCGGGTACCAACGGCCAGGATCTCCTGTTGAAGGACGAAGTCCTCGACCGTTTCTCCCTGTCGAACCGGGAACGTGAGCAGGCTCCTCCAAACAGCCATCTCAGTCTGCTTGCCATCGTTGACTGTTGGTCCAAACTTGGAATTGTCCCCTACGATCATATGATCTGTTCCACGCCTGTGAGTTTGCTTTGTCCCTTGCTTTCCATGGCGTTCCTGCCTTCAATTTTTTTTTCTTCTGTTATTCCCCGCGCAATTTATGCGATGTAACGTTGCTTTAAAGTCAAAGTCTAATCATCGCGCGCGCATGTGCGTGCAATCTATATAGCTTTTCCGTCTCTGGCTGGGCGTCACGGAATACCTCTTCCGCAATCCCGAACTCCTCGAGGCGGCCCTCGACACTGCAGTCGACGACAAGACGTTCCGTTCGGATGACCTGGAATTTACCTTTGCAGCTCGCGTGAGTACCAACCCTGTTTTAGCTTTCAAAAAAAGACCCTGGTTGCGTTTGTGCGGTTTTATTCCAGTCCAATGGATATGAATGGGAACCCAATCCCTCCCCCAATGCACATTTATTCCGATTTGTACAACAACAGCACCACTGACGTCATTCACTACAATTCGTGCAGGCATGGTCGGACTGCGTATCGTTCGGTGATTTCGAATCCTACCGCGACCGGTTCGAGCGGATCCAGCAGTACTTTGCTCCCCGATTCCCCGAAGCCGTCAAGCTGGGCAACGAAATGATGAAGACCATTCTGGAGAAGACTGCAACGGGCCAAGCCTAGTATAGGAGAAGACACACCAAAAGAGATGAAAATCGAGTAATGCCAATGACTCCTCCCTAAGTCTAAAAGCCCAATCACAAGAAGAAGCCGGCTAGGGACAGTCGGGTAGCGCGTCTAGAGTAGGTGGATGTCTCTGCGCCAGTCCGGCAGGATCGGAGAGGGGGGCAATTCATAATAATCATACTCATAATAATATACTAATGATATTAATAATAATGTGTAATAGGCAGCAACTGTCTCGCTCGTTGGATAACGACGACGACTGGTAACAACAGTGGAACTTTGGTAGACGTACGGGGAGTATCCCTTGAACTAATCGCAATCGGGCAGATAAGGGTAACCCTTGAAATGTTGTTGACAGGGTTTCCTTCCCGAGGTCGAACGAGAGGCATGGAAAGTCATGGATCTTTCTTTCTTGATGTCAGGCAAGAATGGCTATTATTGTTTCCCCCCTTAACCGTCGTTGTTCCGTGTGGTTGGAGCAGGTCTTGGTATGCTGAATGGGTATGTATGTATGTATGTATGTACGTAGTAGTATGTTTTTGTTCACGCGCGCGGGGGCTCAGGTCGCTCGCACTTTCTTAGCGCACGGAATATTCCACCGTATCGCTATGGGCTGGGCTTTATCCATTTAGGGCAATTCGCATACGTTTTATAGGTCCCGCTGTGGCAGTCACTAAGATGCTAAGCCAGGATGTTATTAGTCCAAGCGGTGGCTAAAGGTACTAGGCTGCTTGGTGTCGTATCTTTGAGAGGTGCCAAAACTCTGGAATGGGGATCGGAGACCCAATCCGATCCCAGCAGACTTGAGGAGGGTAGTATCGTTCTCAGTCCTCTTGCATGAATAGATAATTGAGTAAAGTGTGTGTGTGCGTGTGTGTGTGTGCGCGCGCATTCCGAAGCGACTAGCTACTGCTAGAGCCGAGATCTTATATTACTTGCATGACCTGCTTTGGGAAAACAAAAGGGTTGATCTGTATGTTGCATGACGTTTTGAACGGAGACCCTCCTTTGAGGCTTCAGCCCCGGGTCGTGGGAACTCCGCGGTTCCGGTAGGGGAGATAGATTTACGGAGTACGTCGGATCATTTTAATCAATTGTTCTCCGGATGGATACTAAACTTTGAATGCCATGAGTCTCGGGCGAGAAGGATAAGATTCGCAAAGATATATGGTAGTATTGGTAATGGACCGGAGCAGACCGTTTTTCTTGGGGCACGTCGAAGGTTGTGCTCGATCGATTAATCTTGGCATCGATGCACTGCTAAGTCCAAAGCGGTTGGTTGCAGCCTAGCTGGATATTGATAGTTCATGAACTTGTCGTATACAAAGTAATTTAAAAGCGCTATCTGTGCGGACCAGGCCGTCTTGTGGCGTTGTGTCGTATCTGCTGGGGTATGCTAGGATAATTACGATCCAGGCTATGGCGCTTCCTGGCCTGCATCATCGTCGGCATGGCCATTGTCTTTTCAAGCCACCAGATGATGTAGTGGTTGTCGAAGTGGGGTATCACATGGCTGCACTATTTGCATGGCAAAATTTTTTTGCTTGCGAGGTGCTAAGAATAACCGAGCTGTGGACTGATCGAGCCTGGAGGCGTCGGAGGCTCGGAGAAGTCTTGCGTTATTGGCCTAGTCCGCCCTAGACGAGTCACAATAATGACAGCTTCAGGAGCCCAAAACATAGGGGGCGTCCGACCCAAGGTGGTCCTGCTTCTTTTCTGAAACCATGCTGCGCAACCTTTCCCCATACACTTTTTCATGTCTGTACTCCGCTGCACGCAACAGGCCATACTGACTGTCGGTCAACCATGAGAACGTGCGGAAATTGCTGAGTTGTTCATATGCTTTGGGAGACGCGTGGAAAGCGTATAGGGATACGGTGTTCGTTCTTTGGTGCATGAACCGTGGTCATGATTAGACTTTTTTACTTCTTGCCCCCCTCCTCTTGGTTTCCCATTCGTCTCGAACCCCTTTTTATGGGAAAAGAAAAAGGGTTAAGCCCAGCATTTTCCAACCCAAGGTTGCCCGGCTGTCCTATTTCAAGAATGGTAAAACAGCCGTCTCAAGACCTCGCAATCGGCGAAGACCTCGCCCGTGGAAAGCCAGTAAACGAAGGTCCCGTCTCCCGGCTCGACCGTGTGATTGGATCCGTTATTCCGTCGGCCCACCCCTGGATGAGCAGCGAAAGAACGCCAGGATCGGTGAGAATACGACTGCTTCCGAGATCCGAGAACTTGGTCTTAGCTACGGAAGGCGGATGCTGATTGGCAGCGGTGGTCCTGCACAGGATTCGTGCGTCCGAGAAAGTCGTGTGGGTGACCACTCACGTCTAGTGACGAAAGGGTCCATGATTGGCGCCAGGAACATTAAGGCGGACTTGTGAGCTCGACGATAGCAAGTAGCAGTGGACTAGATAGTAGAGTACCTGTAGCTAGCTATTACACCGGAGCCACTTTGTAAGTAAGAACTCAGATTTGAGGAAAGTAGATGGGTGGCTCCCAATGACGTTGCAATGATAATAAACAATGGGGGTGGTGGTGGAAGGGGAGAAAGCTGAGTGAGAGAGATATGGAAAAAACAACCGGGATACCTGTATCTGGATAGAACTTACAGTACTGACTTAGGTACTCTTATTCCGGTTCGCCTTCCGGAGTACTTTTACTCCGGTCTCTGGTAAGAATGGAGGATAGATCATTTTACCATGGCCTCTTGGGAGTGAGAACAGGTCAAGCAAGGTGTAACCAAACGACGAAGCAATATCTAGATTCGTTTGTAGATGATGGATGGACCTTCAAACGAACAACAGATGCGTGCCAGTGAGGGAAGGGGACCGGGCCGGGGGCAGGGAAGAACAACAGAAGGAATAACAAGGGAAAAAGAGGACTGAGAGTTGATGGGTCCGGCTGCAGGCTGCAGTCTGATTGATCAGCTGCTGCTCTCCGACCCAATTGGCATGTCTCCATCCATTGAACGGTCGAAAATCATGATGCTGGATTCCCGGCAGATGTTCCTTTTCGCCTTTTTTGCCCCCCCTCTCTACAGTTCTACGTACTGTGTATTACTCTTCCACCCACCCACACACACAACCCCCCGTCCGAGGGAGTCTGTCGGACTGTCTTTCTAACTAGTAACTACTGTACTAGTGTCCTTCCTTCCCTCCCAGAAACCCACACCCACACCCAGTCACCCACTCCCCTCCCCCCCCCCAAGAAACCCAAATTCAATCCAGGCTCCTCTCCCGTCTGCAAATAAGCACCCAAACGAAAGTTGCGCATGGACCCAACTCCATGGATATGGCATAGTCCCATCCTGGTTTGATTAAATGCCCACTAGGCAGTCATCGTACCTTGGGTTGGAAATCCCCCTTCTCCGGCTGCTAGTATGGTTTGGGACATTGCTGGGCTCAGTCTCCAGCGCTCTGTCTGGGCACAAGCTGGCGAGCACAGACCATGTGGCCATTCCACTCCCAAAATATGCCCACTGAGAGGCCGGAGAGGCGTGGCAGCTGGGGGAACTTTAAATTGGGAAAAACCCGAAGATTTTCGCCTTGGTTGATCTGAGAAAAAATCAAGGTACCCGCTTGCCTTGCGCGGTGGGCATATCTATCTGACAATCGCCCATTTTGATTGACGATCTTCTCCTTTCGTGGGCCCAATCTTGCTTCCTATCGCTGTTGGATCTGAATAGACTCGATTGCCTTCACTCGCCCTTCTGCCCTTTCTGTCTCCCTGGCAGCTGCTAGTCTGTCCATCGGAGGGTGTTCGCCCGCATGGTAGCGTGATCTTCCATCTCTTTCATCGTTGTGATTGCCATGCAGATCTGTCGCATGGCATCTGTGGCACATCACTATGTGGCTTAGGACAATCATGCACCTTTCGATTCTTCAATTGCTCTAAGTATGAACAGCCCTTGTTTCCCCTGTCCCTCCAAAACATGGCACCTATGCTCTAGCAATCCCTTGCCAAATGGACGTGGCCGCGGTACCCCCGTTGTCGTCGAGACTCATTGATGGTTCATGACGAACATGGGGGGACGTTCAGTCTTGTATACCGAAAGAAACCCAGTAGATGTCGATTCCCCAAGAATGCTTGGTCTTTACTGACAGAATCTGTCTGCGCAGTGATGTTTCCCATCTCGTCTATCTATGAATATCAGACTTTCAGCAGCAACTGCTAAGATTCCAGCATCTACACTCCCAGGAAACCTCCACCAGCAGGTGTCGCCCACACGCAATCCTGGTTACATTCTATTCAGGACAGTCCTTTTGTGATACTATTCTTTTGGTATCCTTATATTCTTTCTCATTTTCTTATTCGTGAAGTGGCTTGGGCCCGCTGTCTCCTCTCATTTTCTCTACATCTACACTGATTCGACTATTTATCACCTATTCCTTCCTTCCCTCAAAACCTAACATTGAAACGATCCTTATTACCCTTCAAATGAAGTTTTCAAATCTCTTTGCTGCTGCAGTCGCTGCCTTTGGTCTGGGTAAGTTCTTCCTTCTGAAGTCATTGTACCTGCTGAACTGGCTGACTGTATCTATTCAGTGCGCTCAGGTTGCAGCCAAATAGTCAAGCACAGGCCCTCAGAAGGTGCAGGTGTCTCCTATAGCATCAATGTACCTAAGAATACCTCTTCAACGGGCTCTGGCCCCATCTTTCTCCAATTACAGGCACCACCTGGTGTCAAATGGTTTGCCCTAGGTCAGGGGTCGCAAATGACAGACGGGAACCTGTTCATCGTCTATGCGGCATCCAGACACAATGTCACCTTGTCCACTCGGAGGGCAACCGGTCATGTGCAACCTCTTTATGACCCGAGTATCGAGGCATATCTTCTCGACGGCTCTGGTATCCACGACGGGGTCATGACCGCTAACATCCGTTGTGATAACTGCACAACACTTGCTAATGGAGAGAGTGCACTGGGCAACTCCAGCTCCTGGATGTGGGCCCTGACGCATGGCCCTCCGATGATGTCCAGCAACGTATCCCAGCTGTTATACCAACATGACTGGCACGGCACTTTCACCCTGAATACCACTTGGGCTGTTGGGGGTAACAATACCAACCCCTTCGTTGTCCCGATGGCAACCATGCACGAGCTGTCGGCATACACTCACCAGCAGCAAGTCAGCGATACCATTCTCCATAAGAAACGAATCGCCCATGGCGTGATGACTTCAGTGGCCTTCGTCCTTCTCTTCCCCAACTTCGCTCTTCTTTTGTACATCGTCCCTTCTCGGCGTACAGTAGCCTGGATCCATGCTCCTCTGCAGCTTTTTGCTGTGCTCCTAGCGTTAGCTGGGTTTGGAGTCGGTGTCTCTGTCTCCAAAGATCTGCAGGAGATTGGAGGCTACCACCCGGTCATTGGTTATGTGGCGGTCGTGGGTGTTGTTTTGATCCAGCCAGTACTGGGCATCATGCAACATCTCCACTTCCGCAAGACAGGGACAAGTTCGCTATATGGCGTCTCCCATCGTTACCTAGGACGTTTTTTCGCGGCCCTGGGAGTCATCAATGGCGGAGTAGGGTTTCATTATGCCACTGCCAAGAATCCTGATATCCCTCCGGCTTCCCCTATTGCTTATGGTATAATATGTGGGTCGATGTTCATCATCTATGTCTCCGTCATCTTCTGGAGGAGATCGAAGTCGGCATCCAAGACCGCGAGGTTCAGTTTACCCTTCTTCCGACGGCGACAAGAGAAAGCGCCGATCGCCAAACTTGAAAATAACAGCGACAGCACACTTTGTGGAAGTGGAGTTGTTGAGACGTCACGGGAGAAGTCATGGGTGCCATGAAGTTCCCGCAGAATATCACGATCATTATCAGCATTTTGTACTACCAAGCGTACATTTTCGTTGGGTCTTGCATATCCGGAGTTCGTCGTACTACAGCATCTTGCCATCCTTCATTCGTTTCCGATTTTCTATTCTCACCCCTGTCTTCATGTAATATTTTATTGCATCAACAGGATCTCTCACCTGTCTTCTACCCCAACCTTCGCTAATTTCCATGCATTATATCTCAGAAAGATTCTTCTGTATATATACGAGCTAGCTCGTTTGACTACTTGCCATGTGTTTCATGACTATGTTGGTCTTTCACGAACAGGCATCGATCATGATGCCCAATCAATCAATCATATTTACTAGTCAATTATCAAAGTGCATCGGTAAAGAATTAGAGAGTAAACACGCATCCAATACTCAAATATCGGTGAGCAATCAGTAGTGGAGGCCACAGAAGCGACGATAAAACTAGTATAGTTGCTAGGTTAAGTTAGTTAGCCTGAGGCGATAAGAGCGGGTTAGTCAGCTGGGGTCCGGCCTGAAACCACCAGCGGTGGGATTGGAGAAAGACCCCGGTCATTGAGGCAGATTGCTTGCTTCGTGCTCTAACTAGCATCTAGCGTTGTCATCTGCAGCCTGTGCTACATGTGATTTGATTCTTAGACGCCCTCAACCTTCCCGATCTTTCCCCCTCCCTCAGCCTCATCACCTTCGTGACCGCCGTGATTTTGTTTCCCCTCCCCTCCCTTTTGAGGTTCCCGCCGTCAGCGAATACGCCCATCGAGAGCAGTCGGTTTCCAGTCACCCCGAGCACTTCGATCGCTCCGATAGTCTCGGTAATCTTGTCGGCGAACTCAATGCAGTCCTCCGTCCCTTATTTCAATTGCGACAGGTGATACGCACTCCTCTCTTGCGGCTAGATGGAGCTCTATGGCGTCCGGACATAACTCAGCGTTCTCCGCGACGTCAATCCAGCACCGTGCTGTGGGTGATGGACGGTCATATAATAGCTTGGAGGATAACACTGCAGACGGTAGCTGGGCCGAGTCCGCTACGCGAACCGGACGAAATGCTCGTTCGGAGTCTGGAGGCAGCGCGACCATTGGTCTCCGGGGAGGGTCATTAGCCCCTTCTTCGGGGGCCCCTGGTAGCTTCAGCTCCGAGCTGAAGAGCATGAAGACGTCGCGGAGCACTACCCCTCGACCCGAAGGTGCTCCCGCGCGACGACCGAGCAGTCTAACGGAGCACGATGAATTGTCCAGCACCGAGGAGCGCCAGGCCGTGATCCGGGACAAGATCGCAAAAGAAATGAAAATCAAAACGGGGACGGAAAACATGCTCGAGGCGCTCCTGGCGAAGAACCCGAAACATACCAAAGATCAGAGGCTAAGGGTGGAGTCGGAGCTGAGTTCATCCAACCGCAAGCTTGCCGAACTACATCATGAACTGGAGGAGGAAATGCTACGTGCGCAGGCGCCGTCCACCCCTCCCCGAAGTCGACTCTCAAGCCTTTTTCAAGGCGGCTCGATGCGTTCGCCCACTCGGAACAATATACCGATCGAGGAGCAGCAAATTCCGGAAGGTGAAGCGGAAATGGAATCACCAACATATGTGCTTGCGGAAACACTCCAGGCTCTGGAAATCGAGGGCATGTCCCCCGATTACTACGTTGAGCGTGCGAATAGTCTGGTGGAATTGTTCAAGAGACATCCTACCTTGAAGTACGACTTGGAGTGGTCGGTGTTTGGGCTCCGTGTGCAAATAATGCTCTTGAGCGATAGCAAGGAAGCCGTGGCCGCAGGGTATCGTTTGACTCGTTATGCCATCGCAGATCGGAAGTCGTTGCAAATCATCCGGTCATTACATACAGACGAGCTGGTTATATTGTCCCTTGTCAAGGAAAGCAAGGCGAGCATCGAGCGTGAGCAGGCTTTGAAGTTTGTTAGAGCGTTTTTGGACGTTAAAGATGGCGTTCGGGAAATCTCGCGTGCTGTGGTGAGAACGATCGTCTCGGTTGCTGAACATTACGAAGACCGACTCCGGAATATTTCCATCATGACACTAGCCGAAATCTTGGTGAAGGATCCGGCACTAATTGCATACTCTGGGGGCTTTGCCACTCTACATGATGCTCTAGCAGAGGGGACTTTTGGCGCCTCAGAAAGTCTGATAGCAAGCTTCCTTCATGTCCTTGATACCCCTCACAGCAGGAAACATCTTCGGGGAGGGTGTGAGCTAGAGGCTGTTCTCGCACCGTTCACTGACTCCTTGTCGGATACTGTTCGCAATGGGCGCCTTAAATCGTCGGCTAGGGCGATCTCTGCCATGCTCAAGACGTGGCCAGGATTGATAGTTCTCGCGAGAAATGGGGCCCAGCCTTTGCAGTCACTCTTGGACTCATTACATTACCCTGACCCACAGGCAAGGGATCTCATTATGGAGCTTCTGTTCGATGCGTTGAGGATTAAGCCACCTTCATGGTCCTCCTCATTCCTCGCTGGTCGGAGATTGACAACTTACGGAAGAGTAGCTAATCTCAGGACTGAGACTGATACAAAGCAAGCTCGAAGTTTTTATGATGACGATGGGAATAGATTTGATTTAACAGCACATTTCTCGACTCTTATCCTCGCAACCCTGGTGGATGCAGGATTGTCCAAGGTCGGTACCCCGAGTTCTGGGTTGTGGTAAACTGTTAACACGGTGCAGGCTCTTTCCGATCTCATTGAGGATGAAACGGACCTGGCTCTTAGACGCAAAGCGACGTTGCTTTTGACCGAAGTCCTGAAGCTAGCACATCACTCTCTGCCTCAGCATATCAGTGCGAAGCTCCAGGTCCTCCCGCATTTGCTACCAGCCGCTATAAAATTCGACGTCGACAACCATGATGTTTCCACCTCAACTATCTACCAGATCGAAAGCATAAACAGAACACTGGCCCGCTCTGTCGGGGGTGTTTCAAATGGAGCGGGGCGTTACAACGTTGACGTTGACATTTCTGCTTCAATACTTACTGGCGACCAAAACAAGGAAAAACTCAGTCCTGCCATGGATGAGACTCAGTTCCGCAATGCGATCCTGGAGACCCATGTTCTAAATACTGTGAATTACCTAAAGTGGAAGTGGGATTTGATCCACCGTATTGTTGAGGGACCTCTGACCAATCCCAAAAGACTGGAAGAAGGAATCAAGGGTTCAAAATTCATGAAGCGACTTATGGGTTTCTACCGGCCATTCAAGTATAGGTTCTCTATGCTGCCGAACACAAAACCAAACCAACGTTATGTCCGCACTGGTTGTGCGCTGATGCGCACGCTGGTGCAATTACCCGAGGGCATCAAGTACTTGGCCGAGAACAAGTTCTTGAGGCAGGTTGCAGAGTGCCTTGCGCAGGTTGACCGCATGAGCGGGCTGACATCCTCCTCGCCATTATTCTCGAAAGAACAGATGACCAACACATTGAGCGGTGGATACTTTGCAATGCTGGGAGTCCTCAGTGGCGACGCCAACGGGCTTGCTATGATGGAGCGTTGGCACATGCTCAACATGTTCTACCATATTATTGAGCTTCGGGATCGAGACGACCTCATACAAACACTGCTCGGTAACATGGACTATGCCAAGGAGAGTCACCTACGAGTCATCCTCTCCAAGGCACTCACCACTGGCTCCAAGGAGATTCGCATATTTGCGACCAGGCTACTTCGAAAATATGCGGTCGGAAACGTTCCCCTCTCCTCACAGTCGGCCACTGGCAATGCGGACTGGGTGGTCAAGCTGCTAGTCACACAGCTATACGACCCTGACGTGTCGGTATGCCAAGTAGCTGTAAAGATTCTCGAAGAGGCATGCAATCAGCGTCATTATCTCGAGTTCGTGGTCAAGTGTCGCCCTTCCCTCGATCACTTGGGCGAAATCGGTGCGCCGTTACTTTTGCGCTTTTTGTCCACCTCAGTTGGATATCATTATCTGGATGGTCTCGACTACATTACACAGGAAATGGATGACTGGTTTCTGGGTCGTAACGACGCATACGTGGGCCTTGTTGAAGCCGCGCTATCGCGTGCCTACGTCGATCAACCGCGTCGGAACAGCTTTGTCCCTGAAGATCTTGTAGATCTACAGGACATCGGACTAGTGCCTCCCCATTTCTACAGAGAACTCGCTCGGACAGCGGAAGGATGCAAGCTTCTGGAGCAGTCAGGGCACTTCAATGAGTTTGCGTGGACCATCCGCGATTTTCAGCTGGATGAAGAAGACACAGAGGCTCTTCTCAAAGTGAAAGGTTGCCTTTGGGCCGTTGGTAATGTCGGCTCCATGGAGCTCGGTGCACCGTTCCTTGAGCCTGATATTGTCCAACACATTGTGAAGATCGCCGAAAGCGCGGAGGTTCTGACGATGAGAGGAACGGCCTTCTTTGTTTTGGGTTTAATCTCGCGCAGTCGACATGGCCTTAAGGTCTTGAGAGATTTCGGATGGGACTCTGCTCTCGACCACAAGGGAAATTCTTTGGGGCTGAGTTTACCGACCGACTTCAACAAGCTCTTCTTGGTATGTTTTTTGATAGCCAGTACCTGTGCGCCAGCCATTAACCATCTTACTTTTGCAGGTTGATTTCCCAAGCCATTCCCGGAACCCTGACTCGAAGCGCACGTCTCAGGAGAAATTCAAAGAAGCGGCCATGGACACGGATCCAACCAACCAGAAGATCTTGAAGTTAATAGTCGATATGGGTAATACCGTATTATCCAAGCGGGCTGCGGCAGACCTCCACAAGTAAGGAACACACCTTGTATACTAATAACCAAATGCGACGAAAAGCTAACATAGCCGAATCTACAGTCTCAAGTCGAAACAGCCCGATTGTTTCCACCAGCCTCACCTTTTCCGCAAGACGCTCAGTATCCTGGAAAGCCACCACTTCCGACTGCCTGCACGCCGCTTTGCCTTGGACTTGTTTGACAAGAGTGTCATGCGACGCATAGTGTTAGAAGACGATTCCGATTCAGACTCGGAGGCATCGTCTTCTCAAGTATCAAGCTAGATGGGCACGCCGAGTCTCTCGCTTGTTCGAACAATCTTTCTTTTAACGAACTATCATGCGTCAAGCTAGATCCACAGGCACGCATCCGATGACCTCACGTTTGGAAATCTTCTTTCTTAGCCACACCCCCCTTTCATTTCTGTCTTCCTGGCTATGGCGTTGGATGGTTCCGGTCATGAGCAACGAAAGGATGTTAGCATATCATGTTGTTCTGCTCTATTCTACCCTTGATTTGCGGCTCTTTTTTGTTTAGCCGTTGATCCGATACCTTTGTCTGTATTTCTTCTTTATCCACCAATCTTGCATCAGATCGAGAGTTTTGCTTCCACGGGGTCTGTGGGATATTTTTATGCATCGGTGATCATCGTCAATTCATTCAATCTTATGAGTGCCCTCTGTTCTCGTTCGAGGGTAACATTGTACTGTATATACTTAAAGATTACCATTTACCTTTTTTTTCAAGTCCAAGGAAATTCGTCATTGCATCTTGCATATTAGCTACTTCAAAAAAAAGATGTCTTGGCTACCAGCCATGACATCGTAAAGCGTGTCCCCGAACCTCGGATGACGGCCGGAAGGAGAGAGCTCCGGAGACCAACCAGCCCAGCTCGTCTCCACCCGTCAGTCACTGTAAGTAAGCCCAACAAAACATCAATCAATCAATCTAAGCGCCGACCGACCAACCGACCGACCCTGGTCTAGATTCTCTACCTCTATCCTTTATATTTTGCCTTTTCCTCCTCTCCGATCCCCTACTCCTCTACATACCGCGAACCTCCATGGAAGATGCCACCATGCCCAGCCCTCCACCACCACCCTCTCCGCATCCCAGCAATGCTGCAGCAGCTGCAGAAGAAAAACAAAACGGCGATGATCACCACCACACGCTGAACAACAACAACAGCTCACGCGACCCGCTCCTTTCCCGATTAACCTCCGCACATTCCATCATCCGGCTTATCCAATGCCCGCGCTGCTCGTTACCGCTCCGAACCCCGCTGCGCCTGCCCTGCGGAAACACGATCTGCAAGTCATGTCTACCGCCCATTCGGCAACGGACGGGGATTACTTATCCGGCGGATGAGGAGCGGAAACAGGGGTTTACGTGCTATTGGGGAGACGGTGCGACGAGCTGCTCGGGGGAACATTGTCTGGGGGATTGTGGGACGGATGTTTTGTTGGGGAGGGTGGTGGATGTGTTTGAGGAGGTGTTGGGGAAGGGGGGTAGTAGTGATGATGATGATGATGATGGTGCTGGTGCGAGGTTTTGTGATGTGAGGTGGGAGGGGAAGAGGTTGAGGAGTGAGGATGAGGTTAAAGGGACAGAGGCAGACATAGGGACAGAAACATGTGTTGCTAGGATTGGGTGTGGGGATTTGTTAGGGGGTGTGTATGGGTTGGTCAAGCAGGGTCGTGTTGGGTTTGGGGATGTGCTGGAGGTGGAAGGTGATACTACATTCGAGGAGGGACAAGGGCAACAAGTATCCTACGAGAAATTGAAGGAGGCTGTCCGGGGAGAATTGGACTGTCAGGTCTGCTACTCGCTTATATTGGATCCGTTGACGACTTCTTGTGGACATACGTTTTGTCGCGGTTGTGTGGCTATGGTTTTGAATCATAGTGATTTGTGTCCGCTGTGTCGGCGCAAGTTGAATATGGCTTCGACGGTGCGGGCTGAGCCCGTTAATAGGAGGATTTCGGACTTGGTGGAAGCTTTGTTCCCTGAGCAGGTTGTGTCGCGTCGCGAGGGTTCTTCTAGTGAGGATGGAGTGGCCGCTACTGGGGATGGAGAGCGGACTATTCCCTTGTTCGTGAGCTCGCTTTCGTTCCCGACTACGCCGACTTTCTTGCATATATTTGAACCGCGGTATCGGACTATGATCCATAGGGTCATGCAGACGAGGGATAAGAAATTTGGTATGGCTATGTATAATCGCTCCGGTCGGCTGCAGGAAGGTTTAGGCAGGGCCCAATTCATGCAGTATGGTACGGTGCTGGTGGTGGAGCGGTTCGAGCTACTCCCCGATGGGAGAAGTTTGGTGATTGCATCAGGGGTGTCGCGCTTCAAAGTGATGAGCTTTGAGATGGTGGATGGATACCATGTTGGCAGGATACAGCGCGTGGATGATATTGCGATATCTGAGGAGGAGAGGCTAGAGTCTTTGGAAACGTCATCAGGAACAGGGGAATCGCTATCAGCAGCGTCAACACCACCGGAGTCTCTGCCCACGCAGCAGCTTTTTCAGATCGCCTTGGATTTTATCGACAAAAGCCGTCGCGAAGGAGCAGCATGGCTCCATCCGCGAGTCTTGCTAGCATATGGCGAGGCGCCTACCGATCCGGCTGTGTTTCCCTGGTGGTTCGCCTGCGTTCTGCCTCTTTGGGAAGATGAGAAGTACAAGCTTCTAGCGACGACCAGTGTCCGGGATAGACTGAAGATGGTTGTGCGGTGGGTGAGGAAGTCAGAGTCTCGAGAGTGGTAGGTAGATGATCGGCCCCTTCATCAGGGCTTTGCTTTCATATCCTTCCTGGCTGGCGCTCACATTTTCTCTTGACAAGGTTGGCTCGGCCCCGACCATCATTCGCCTCGGTCTTATGACTAGCCGTCCCTCTCCTCGTCTTCTCCCTCGTGCCAATGGTTCTGAGCCCAGCTTTGACATACCTGGCCCCGTCTGCGGGAGTCTTTACGTCGTTCACGCCATTTTCCATGTCTGTCTCCATCTCATTTGGGTCTCCTCGTCCAGTTGATCCTGATCGCCGGCAGCGGACGCAGAGTCAGGATTCAGGAGGAAGCTATATCCCACAGACTCTCGTGATGGGGATATTCTTGGCTATCTTTACGACGCAAATGGCGATCAATGTTGTCCAAATTCGGCGAGCCAGACGGCGAGAACCACGCTGATAGATATGAACAGCGGACGACGAGAGAGATGCACGACGAGGAAGAGGGACGCCACTCATCCACGCCAGGTACGGCTAATCCTTGAAGTATCGAAGGCGCTGTTAGTACGCGATAGCGTTCACTGGTCCTTGTACTAGTTGGTGCCCGGCCTAAGACTGCGGCAGCCATAAATCCTCCTCCAGAACGAGGAGTATAAGTATATTCTCGTCCTAGCTGGTGACTAGTTGCCACAGGGACACACTAATCTCGGAAGCTACCCATCGCATCGTATAGGTGGGCTTAACGCCCATCTCGTAGAGTCCGGTGCGACTCCATGCAGGCATGGTATCCTTTCTTTGCTTCTTTATTTTTTTTTCTTTTTCTCCTACGATCGACCGATGACAGAGTCGAACGGGAACTTACAGCTTTGTGCAGATAGAGGGATAATAGGAGGGATTGGAAGGTTTCAGGCAACTAACAGTTTGGGAATCCCTGCATGTACATCGAACGAGCACATTGGTGGTGGAAGTGGAAGAACCAACCCGTAGCTATCTATGCATAAAGTAGGAGCGAAATGCGCCTTGCGTGCGTACCGCAGATGGTGGAGAACGGCTAATAGCGAAGCCTGATAAGAGAACAATGTTGCCTAACTGGCAGGGGTAGAGAGCCTCTGAGCCAGTATCCAAGCTCTGACTTGTCCAGCGCAATGCAGCGTCGCTGCGCCCGTTTGCCGCTGAGCTGCGCTGGTTGGTGGTTGGTGGCCGTTGGTCGCACAAGCGCTGCACTTGGGATTTGCGACGCCAAAACCACCCAAACGTTGCAAGATGGCGAAGGAACTGATGCAGCTCATGCAATCCTAATCGCCCTTTCCCATGGCGTGCCTCGTCGCTTGCCTGTTCGGGCGCCATTGAAGTCTGGTTCGCCATGCTGGTCCTGATGCGTTGGCTTGCCAGCTCCCCCGGTCGTTCTCCTTCCTTCTCTTCCTCTTCGCCTTTCTTTTCTTTATCTGCAATTGATCCGCTGTTGCATCTTATCTGCAGTCTTCTTCTTTATCACTTTGAAATATCTCCCTACGTGTGGAGCGTCCACGGTGAGTGTATCCAGACTGTATCTATGATGATACTATGTTCGTCAGCAGCGTGAAAGGTGGAGCAGGAAGAGAAGATATCGGAGATTTCAAACCAAGACCCTTGTAGAGAAGAAAGAGAAAGAAAAGAGGAGAATGAGTAAAGAGGGAAGAATAAAAGTGTCGGGTGATCCATCGTTCTTGCAAAGTGGATGTGGAGCGACTGTGGATTGGAGATATCAACTTTCCCTTTTCTCCTCTTCTCCCCTCTACTTAGTACTTCTCTACTCTTCGTTCCTTCAACCATCTCTTGCGCTGGTCTTAGCTTCTCTTCTGCATCTTCCAGGTGAAGACTGCTCAAGACTAACAGCTTCTTATTAGTATCAGTTCAATGTCTACTTCTTCAGGTAAGCTTGGCTTCATTTGCAGTTGTCAAGCTGCTGGCGGGTTGCCTGATCTTCACTAAAATCACCCCACACCCAGATTCTCGTACTATGGTCTCGTCGACCTCATTCACAGGCCATCCGAATAGCTATATGTCTCGAAGGTGAGTGCCCTCAACTCGAGTTCCATTATATACTTACTGATATATGTACTCGTCCGACTGACTGGTTTCTAAACAGACCATATGCTGTGAGTCCCCTCAACTGCTCGCTTTAGAATCTCATCAATGCGAGCTGATCTGACGATTTCACTATGATACAGCAACTTCCGAGCTATAGAAGTACCCCGTCAAACGCAGAAACCGTCACCATCCCCCGCTCGGAATATGATCGTCTGGTGAGTACAATGTGACAGGTCCAAAATGGCCCCTCGCTGACCGGTGACACTTCGCAGCTCCAAGATTCGCAACATTTTGGTATGCGACCGCCTCTCATATACCTAATATCTATCTCTGCAGCTGACATTATCACTACAGCTAAATTAAGAACCTCACTCCTTAATGGAGGGTTGTCCCAGGAAACTCTTGATGTCAGGAGACGCCCACTGATTGGCGTACATTTACTAACCTACATAGGTCTTGATTTACGGGGCTGCTCAGCAGCCTTCTCACCAAACTAGCCGCGAAAATAGCTCTCAGAGCCCAGCGAAATCGCATGCGGCGTTCGAGAACAAGGCCCCTGGCTGTCATGAACACTTAGACGTGAAAGTTCATGACCCTGAAGATTTCGCCATTGGTGAAGATGAGGACGAAGATGAAGACGCTCTCCTGGATTCTCATGACAGCGAAGACAAGGATGACTATGATGAGTCTTCCAGAAGTGCAGGATCGTCTCCTACTCCAAGCGCCCAACGTACCGTGCTAATTCGGAATCTTCCCGACCGTATCGCGCACAGAGACATCGTCGCAGCCATAAAGGGCGGAGCCCTACTGCACATCTATTTACGTGCGCGGGAACACATGGCCAGTGTGTCTTTTGTCGAGGAAGCGGCCGCTCGTGAATTCTTCCGGACTGCGAAGACCTACGGTCTCATTGTTGCTGGGAAGCGCGTAAGTGCCCAATCCGGCAAACGGTAGCACCGCTAATAGGTACTATAGGTGGAAGTGGGTTGGAATGACAGACAGTTCTACCTTCCTCCGTATGTCCGGGCCAAAATTGACAATGGAGCATCGCGCAATCTAGTCGTCTACAATGTACAGCCGAACGTCACGGAGTGGGTCATCCGGAAGGATCTGGACCATATCCACAACCTAATCGTGATCTCGGTACAATTCAAGAATGGCAATGCCTACATCTCCACCAATTCAGTGCATAATGCGCTCTTTGCACGCTCCTGCATGATGTCTCGGTTCACGTACAAGGGCATGAAAATTGGGTTCTATCCGGACGAGTGTTTAGGTACCCCGGGGAAGTACCCCAAGAAAGAACCACAAGCACCGGCAAAGAAAACCGGCTCCATGCCCAATCGTTTTCAACTTCTGTCCCTGGATGGAGCCGACGATGAGGACGACCATCCCAGCCATGACGGACTGGGAAGGATGAACAATGGAATGCGATGGGCTGATAATAGCGTTACCGCCTGAGTTGTCACCTCTCTCCCCTCTTTTTTCCCTTTGTACTTCCTTTTAAGTTTTGTGCTACCAAATAGTTGAGCAGCACGTTACCTTTAGGTGAGACTAGTCACCAAATTTAGGGGAATCGGTGCTAGTATGGCGGTGCGTTGCGTGAAGGGGATCTGGCTTAATAAAACGGAATGACTGATCAGGCTGGACGAACGAACATGACGGATAGGCAGCGGCGAGTGGGGTGAGAATGAAACAAGATGGCGGGTGATCTACGAGGGGGATGGCCAGACTGATTGCCAGATGCTATCACTTACTATAGCCAGCGTATATCAGTCATCTAAACGGTTCACTCGTTATGAGAACGTGCGTTTGTATGCTAATACAACGCACGGACGTCCAATACAACTTTATAGTGACAGGGCTGACGACAAAAAAAGAAATTGGGTGATATTTAAGATAGTCCAGGCTTATACTAAATAACAGCCTAAGACCGGGGCCAGCATTGCACCATAATTTCCAAACACAGCCACTGTAAACAACCCAAACCATCCTCTTTATTTGATTGAATTGTCTGCAGTGGTGGAATGGGACCACCACACCAGATCTCTCTCTTCTTCTCTCCCTCACCCCAGTAAGTACAACCGTTAAAACGACAAACAGCAACAACAACACCATCCCGCATGATATCCCGTTTTCTGCCTCACACAAAAAAACCCTTCATAACCCGGCCATAATCATAAGAGGGGAAACGTTATAGGAAAACTTTTTTTTTTAAAACCGATCCGAGCCAAGCAAGCAAAAACTCGAACCGTAAAAGGTGGGGGAAAGCATAACAGCCGGGAAAGTAAGGATTTTGTCCCCGAATTCCATGGTTTAGATTCCTTTCTTTCGAAAACGGAACGGAACAGGAAACAAAAAGGAATGAGAACAGAAAAACAGGCAGAGGCGGAGCAAGCTTGTATGTGTGTATATTGTTGATGTAATAATGAAGCCGTTTAACGGTAGGACTTCTGGTAGCGAGCGCGGGCACCACGACCACCGAACTTCTTGGGCTCCGTACGACGGTTGTCGGCGACGAGGAGTGTGCGGTCGTACTGGACAAGAGCCTGCTTCAGCTGGTTCTTGGAGTGCTCATCGACGTACTTCTGGTAGTAGGCGACGATGGACTTGGCGATGGCCTGACGGATGGCGTAAACCTGGGAGGTGTGACCACCACCGGAGACGCGGACACGGATGTCGACACCGGCGAACTTGTCGGCTCCAACGATCAGGAGGGGCTCGTAGACCTATTCCATTTTGGAAAAAATCCCGTGTTAACTGACCCGTCCCATGGCAATTTCGCATATAATCCCGATAGGTGATGAGTTATGTACCTTGAAGCGGAGGATCTCAGGCTGGACCAGAGAGAGGGGCTGGCCGTTGACCCGGATCATGCCCTTGCCTTGCTGTAGTTGGAAGAAACGAATCAGTCTTGACGCTCTTCTTCTTCTCCTTTCCGTTGCGATTTTGGTTCATCTGATATATTGCGATGCGGATGCAGATGTGTCGTTCGAGTTTGGTTGCGCATGCCTTCTTCCTTTTTTCCCCTTTAGGTATTCGACTTCCTTCAAATTTGCATATTCGTGTCGTTCAATTATTTTTCGATACTCGATATCGCATCCCTCACGTTTCCATGCATTCCATATTCCTTAACCCTTAATGTCGAATAGATACCCAAGCTTCCTTCAACCTTCCAAACCCAAGTATTGACCAATATCGAACGACACATCGGCATCCGCAAACACGATAAATCCTAGACCAGCAGGAAGGTGACAGATAGACAGAGAACGTTATTCTCATACCTTGCAGTGGGCGACAGCGGTGGCTAAAAGATCACATCAACCGTTAGCATCCCATGCTACCTTCAACCAAATCATCCCAACATCCCGAACCCTCCCAATCTTCAAAGTCCACCCAATCCATTTATATATCAAAAACAAGAGGAAAACTCACCCGTCTTCTTCTTGCCGAAGCATTGCACACTCGGGACGGAAGCCATGATGGGGAGGCGGCGAAGTGTGCTGGGTGGTGGGAAGTAAGGTAGACGGTGTCGGGGTCGTGGAGTATTTGTCGTCGATTAACGGAGTCGCGCTGTATTAATTTTCGCTTCGCACAGTCAGGCGGTGCGATTTCTTCTTTGGGGCTTGTGGTTTTGCTGACTGTCCAATTCTTGGTCTCTCGCTTAGTGCGCTGCGCTAGGCCGCTTTGGGACCTTGAGGTAGGGCTTGTCGGGGAAGTTTGAATCGCATCACGTGATGGGGAAAGTTCGGACTCCCGGGATAGAGGCCAGTGCCAGGTTGTTGTAGGGTATAGATTGAAGTAAGAGGCATATAGCTATAGCTATTCGTTTTACGTCAAGATGTCGCAGACTGTTGGAAAGGTATATCCCATTATTCTCTTCCCCACTATTCTCTCAATTGCATAATATTGATCCCTTCTCCCTCCCTCTCTTTACCTGTCTGTTTATGCTCAATAACCAACTTTGATATCAATATAATGCTATAGACCCGTCTCGCCTTCTCCCGAACATGGCACTACGTCGACGTCGGCAGTGACCCTCGCAGTCTGGGTAGACTTGCCTCCTCCATTGCCCTCACCCTCATGGGCAAGAACAAGCCCGTCTACGACCCCTCCACCGACTGCGGTGACTATGTCGTCGCCGTCGGATGCCACGACCTCCGCGTCACCGGCAAGAAGCGCTTCCAGAAGAAGTACTACACTCACAACACCCGCCCCGGTAGTCTGCGGAGCATGACTATGGACAAGATGTTTGAGAAATGGGGTGGTGGTGAGGTCCTCCGTCGTGCTGTTCGCGGCATGTTGCCCAAGAACCGCTTGCGGGATAAGCGCTTGGCTAGGCTGAAGAGTGAGTATCCCTCTGATATCAATATCAATTGGATATATATAGATATATAGATATATATGTCATCTCTAGCTTGGGGCTAGATTGGCATATGGTATGTCGTTTGAGGATGTATGCTAATGACGACGTTGTATAGCTTTCGAAGGTCTCGCCCACCCCTACAAGGAGAACATCGTCAAGCTTAACGGACAGTCGGTCATCGGAAACTTGCCCGAGGTGAAGGAGGCGTTTAAGACGGCCAAGACCGATGCATGATTGCATTGTATTGTCTGCGCATCTTGTCGGCTTGCTGGATCGGATACCATTTTGACCATTTAAACCTCTTGTACTTTTACATATGTCATTGATATTGCTGTTGTCATGTTATGACTTGCTAGCGCATGGGTGGGAGTTTTGTGAATTTTATTTTATTTTTATCTTTTATGTGACATATCTTGTTTATATTACTACTAGCTACGCTACACAATTACAACAGCTTGTGCATTGATCATGATGTATCAGAACCTGTGAATGATGCTATTTATCCCTAACCTATATACAAGTGCCAGAACTCCATCTCATAACTGCTAATGCAATACTACAAATCATCCTACAGCTTCGCCTTCGTGTTGCGACCAACCGTGCACTTGATCAGCCCGTTCGGGTTGGTCTGCGGCGCATACACCTCGGCATCCTTGCCGGTGTTCTTCAGGCCCTTGTGCCAGCTCAGGTCTGCGACAAACAACGGATTAGCCGGGATTCAAGACGAACGAGTCTATCAAAAAATATGAAATACATACCAACTTCGAAGTAGTGCTTGTTAGGCAGAGAGTACTCGACCGTCTCAAGCAAGGGCTGACGAGCCAAGATCTGCTCCGCCATCTTGTACATAGTGTTCTGGACACTGGCCGAGTTGTCCTCGGCAAAGGTCTTAAGGGTGATATCCCGGGCCGCCGACCAGGTCGCATCGAACTGAGGCACAGTAGCGCGCACCTCGTCCAGCCCGTTGAAGCGGCGCCACTGCCAGCTGGCGTCGACGTCGGTGCTGAGAATACGGTCCCATGTCTCAGGGAGGGTGGTGTACTCGTCGCGCAGGAAGCCCCAGAACTGCGAGTTGGTGCTCTTGAGAACGGTCAACTTGGCCAGAGACGAAGTGATGTCCACGCCCTTGCCCTCGACGACATCGACCTGCACGTTGCGGGTTTCCTCGCCATCCCGGAGGAAGGAGTGCGGGTGCGGCTTGCCGTCGATGGTCATACGGGTCCAACGGTGGGTGATGATGTTGACATGGGCGGCGTGGATGTGGTTGTACTTGGTGACGAAGTGGGTTCCAAGGATGGAGCCAAAGAGCTCGGGAGGAGTGACGGGGTTTTGCTTGGCGGTGATGTAGATGGTGTTCTTGATGGAGTCGGTCGCGACAATCACGCTGTTGTCGGCCTTGGTGTAGCTGTAGTAAATGAGGGTTAGCTCTGATTTCAATTTGAAGGGAGAAAAATACATACGAGGTATCGATGTCACCCTCCAAAAGGACGCAGACGGTCATCTCCACGACCGTCTGGACGCCGGTCTTCTCATCGCGGTGGACCTTGTATACTCGGACATTGTCCTTGCCGTAGCGGGCCGCAGTGACTGGGGAAGACATGGTGGGTATGGGGTAGGGAGGAGAGGAAGATGAGCAACCAAAGAGGGGTATTGACAATAAACACAGAACTGGGAGTTTCAACTGCAACAACCCCTGTGGCAGCAGGATGAAGCTTTTTAAGACTTCTCCGGAGCCAGGGAGCAGTCGGGATGGGGAGATGGCAGCGTATCGGCCACCTCCGAAGCCCGCGGGACTTGACGGCCGCAGCCTCCCTCGCTTTATCTTATCGCCCCGGGATTCGTAACCTCTGGGGTTATGCAAACATCAGGCAATCCCGGCTGTGGTTGCCGGGGATTTGTTTGGCTAGAATGAATGTAATGTAACCAAAGGGATTGATTGGGATGGATTCATCGGTCTGCCGTCAGCGGTTACATGTAAGAGCAAGAATGACAGCCAGACTACCAAGAAACCCTACAAAATGTAGAGGAAGTGTCAGACATATGACTGCCCAGACGTCATCCACTCGAAAGAATCTCGCGCCTCAGCAAACAATGAAATCCCAGACTCAAGATGGTGTCTGCCATCATTGCAAGAAATGTCGGGATCTGCTGAGTTTCTCATTATAACATATCCCGTTTCGACCCTCGACTGACCTTCAATTGCTCTGCTAACGGACCTGTCCGATACCGCGGGCCCGGCCTATTGTCCAACGGTTCAGCAATGAGAGCTATCCGGCTGAATCGTGCTGAGACCAGGACATCAAGTCGACGAGCCGGAGAATACCATGTGGTTTACAAGTGAAGGTAGAGAGCGCCCGCCATGGCTTCTCAAGTACCGTTCCTCTACAGCCTTCATCATCGCGACAGTCTGGACCTCTTCGTTCACGGTATGCAGACAATCACGCTACCAGAGACACAATAGCTGACACCGGCAGGACTACTTCCTCTATGCCATGGTGAGCACCATCCAGACTCACATCTATATCGCCAGTTAACTCTCCAGATCGTTCCCGTCATGCCAACAGCCCTAGTCGACCGCGCGAAAATTCCCTATGAAGACCGTACGTCCACCACCACCACAGCCACCCTACTCTATACCATCTGATACAAAACCAGGCGAACGCTGGGTCAGCATTCTCCTCATATGCGAAGCCACTGTCGCATTCATCTGCTGCCCGATCTTCGGATACTTGATCGATGTCGCGCCCACGCGCAAACTCCCCTACCTTCTCGGCCTTATCCTGCTCGGCGCATCTATGCTCATCCTCTGTCTCGCACGCACCATCGGCTTCTTCGTCATCGCACGCCTCCTACAAGGCAGCGCAACCGCAATGGTCGTCGTCGCTGGACTCGCCCTCCTCACCGACT